AATGGAGTGCTGGTTTCACCACCCTGGTGCTGCCCTTGGCTTTGGGACACGGTGGAAGAAGCTGAGGTGGGGTGGATGCAGCAGCTGTCAGAGCATCACACAAGTCAGGGAGGTCTTGTCTGTGCTCACGCAAGAGCACAAAGTGGATGGGTCATCCATGGTCACATGGTCCTGCACCATCACACCGTGCTGTAGCCTCTTTTGGGCCAGGCTCGGCCCCAGGTGTGTCAAAGGACCACATAGCTCCTCTGTCCTACCCCACAGATAGGCTGGCTTGCCCAAGACTTGATTCACTTCTCCAACCAGATCCCATCTTTGCCTTCGTGTGTTAGGGCAAACTTCTAGACTTGCAGAGCTCTTCTTAGACCCAGATTAGCCAGGCTCAGGCATTAGCTGCCTGAGAACATGGGCGGGTGGGCAGGCTGAGAAAGAGAGCAGACCTTGCAAGTGTGTGTGGTCAGCAGAAGAGCATGAGGAACTAACATGGAGAGGGAGAGGAAAGGCTGAGAAAGGGGAGGAGGGGAAATACCCCCCTGCTCTGCTAAGAAATAACTCAGTTTAAGTGCTTGCTTTGAGACAGAGGTCTCTGATCTCAGTGATGTTTGGCCTCAAACAATTAATGGGAGACTGCAGAGCACTGGAGTAAGTTGTCTGCTTTGCTGACCCAGATGTGACGCGCTGTTCATCTCAGAGCTGCTGAGCTGAGGTTGCTCTGAGGTGTCACCATCTGCCACAGCAACAGCATTTAGATAAAAGGAACAACCAACAGGGCAAGGAAAGAAGGATTTCTGGCTTGTGGGCAGCATGACATGAAGCCCAGAGAAAACAGTCCTCCGTGGCTCCAGATGTGAGCAGCTGGAGCTACTCATGCCACCAGAGGGGCACATCAATGAGCCTCACACAGCGGGGTGGACCTTTTCCTCCTGACCAGCATGCTGGACACCAGGACATGTTTCCAGGTTGGCCTGAGATCAAAAGCCTCTCAGAGCTGGTAAGGACTGCATTGCCTTTGCAGCAAGGGCATTGGGCTTCCCTCTCCCTCTTTAGCTGGAGAAGACAAATGTTTGCAGCAAAGGCCACTGAAGTTGGTGAACCTGCTAGGTGCCCTTGGGGTAGGTCATAAAAAACCATCCAAGATCTGGCTGACCCCTCTTCCTGGAAAATCAAAGTATCCCAATGGAGAATGAGAATCCTCCTGTAACATGAGGACCAAAACTTGAGCTCATTGAGCTGGGAGAAGGTTTCTGCCTTGCTGATCCCAACGTTGCCCTTCTGCAGCCACCTCTGGGGCAGGTGGTGGGGAACGTGGCTCATGATGCACTTAGTGGCTGTGCAGCTTGATAGATTCACCTTCCAACCTCATTGTCCTTGCTGTGAAAGTGTCCTCAAAGCCTAGCTAATGAAAATTTCAACCCTGTTCTTGTTCTGGGGAGTGAAAACAAGAGCTAGAGCAGGGTGTCTGGACTTGTTTTTAGTTGTGGATTGCTCTCTGCTTTGGCAGACATTACTGTCCAGACACAAAGCAGATTAAATCCATGAATCAAATTTTCTTGAAGCGTTTTATGGGCAATACTTGTCAGTTCCAATGCAAATGCAATCTAGGACCAAACTGTGGCTTGGGAAAGAAAAGGATCACATGCTAGCAAAGTAATCATTGGTAGGCACTGCTGATGTGAGATCCTCCATTGCATTGGACAGAGCTGAGCCAGATTTTGGTGATGGTCATGGTGAGTTACCTGGAGTAAGGCTGCCCAGCTCGTGTGTCATCAGGTTGACACTGGATTGACCTTGTCTATATGAGGCTAACATGTGGACTTAGAAAGCAGCCTCCACCAAGGCATTTTGCAGCTAGATATGATAAGAAGAAGGGGGTCAACGTGCAAATAGACAAGTCAGAAACTAACATTCTCTTTTGCACTGTTATTTGCTTGTCAGGGCTTTCTGAGGTCCACCAGCACCATGCTCAGCAAGGGCTAGCTCTTTGCTGTGCAGACTGCTTTGGTTATGCCAACTGTATGACTTGATGACTGCTAATAAGCATAGATTTGCTGAAGTATTCCCCAAAGTCTTTGTTTTGCTGTCAAAACCCTCATCAGCAATTGGATTAGTTGTAGGGAATGAACAATTACAACGCAAGATAATGTATTATGTTAGGACAAATTGATGTATTTTATTTAATGATACGGTCTCGGTCACATCTTGGTAGTATTTTTCTTATGGAGGGAAATGCATCATTGCACCAGTAGGCACAAGAAAGAATGCTAAAAAATGGTTGCTTTATTTGCCTAGTGCCTAAAAATCAGGAAAATTAAGTGTCTGTCCCAAAGCAAAACGGGTTAGGCTTTCAGTTTAGGTTATATTGGCTCTGCATGCCTTCTTCCCCAGATAACAGAGATAAAGTTTGCACTTCCTGGGCTGCAGAGAAGTGCATGACCAAGTTCCTCACAAGGACTGTCTTGCTGCAGAAGGAAAATGTCAAGCCAAAAGCTGTGATGAGATGATCTGCCCACCCTGTGCTCTGTAGTTCATTATGGTTCTGCCACCAAAGGTCCTGCAGATATTTTTTTTTGTAAATCAGAGTAGGGCCTCCCAAGCTACAACAAAAACCTGGAAACCTTTGGCCAAGATTGTACCAGGTGTCAAGAGACACACAGAAGATGAGAGGCTGGTGTTTTCTGCTTTACTCATGTGCTACAAACCCTGGGGGAATATTACTAATCTTTGTTACCTTGTGTCCTGTTTTTTGTCTGAGGTACAACTAAACTGCTGTCTGGTGGCACAGGCTGTTTGGTCTGGGTTTGCAGGGTGATTAGCACTTTAACCTGCTCCTGTGAGGACATGGAGGTGTAAAATGGCTCACTCGTGACCTGCTGTGGCAGTTTTCCATTGGAAGAACCCATGACCAAATGAGGTTGGGCAATGCACCACGAGCTGCTTTGCAAGCACCCAGCAAACAGAGCAGTTAGGAGGCATCTCCCCATGGTTATGGTGTTGCTTAACTTTATCAATGGGCCAAGGCAGCACAGGATCCCTGTTTCTTCACTCAGCCTTTATCTGTTGGTGGTGTATGGTGAATTGAGCCAAGAGCAGCAAGTGTAAACTGCACTACTGGGAGAACTACTGGGAGAATATGGATGGCTTTTGAGTCTGGGTTTGCAGCTCCATCATTGAGGAATGGTGGGTCTGATCCCACCTCCTCTGGTTTTTAATTAATAGGGCAGCCAAATCATGCCATTATCTGACAGCATGAGAAATGACCACTTTAATAAGTCCTGCTGCTGGTGGCACATGCATTTGTTACCCGCTGCCTCTCTCAGGGGGGCACTAGAGAGGATTAGTTTGTATTTAGGAGACGCTGTGTGTAATTACTTATGCACAGTTTTGCAAACCATTTGTTTCTGTTAGGTCCTCTCCTGTTGTTTCTCTCCCTGGCATCTGGCTTTCTTTGCTCATCTCCTGCTTCCATAAGGACATGAACAGAAAGCCCCTGGGGCTCCTGGAGCTGCTGTGATGGACTGGCCCTGCCTGCTAGCACAAAGGAGATATGTGAAGGAAGGTCCCTTGTGCCTTGGGATGACATTCAGTATCTCTTGATGTTGTTCCTGGATTTAAAAAAATAAAAATAAAGAGTTTTCAGGAAGATGAGGTGCTCAAAAGACTGTGTAATTGGGTAGGTGTCCTGTCCTGAGGGTGATCCTCAGCAAACAGGCATCTCTAAAAGCCACACTTGAGTCTTTTCCTTCACCTCTCAGCTGCCTCTCTCCCTAGTTTAAGAGCCAAAAGTTTTGCTGTGAGGCCTGTAAACATTCCAGGAACGCAGGACTTAATGTGCCAGATTCGGCCAAGCGCCCATCCAAGCAAGGGTCTTGAGGGAGGTGCAAGCCAGTGCCAGATGTTTTGCAGAAAGCCTCCACTACGCATATCATTCACACCTCATTTATTCCTCATTCCCATCAGCTTCATGGCTGGTCTCCTATCAGTCCTGTTGTGTTTCTCCCAGCCTCTCCCTGCATGCAGCTCATGAGGACAGGCTAGGGAAAGGCCTCAGCAAAGACTCACAGTATTAACCCCAGCTCTCAGAGACAGAAAGTGTCTCATTCATATCCTGTAGTCAGTGAGAGACAGTTTCCTAGAGCAGAGATTACGTCCTACAAGACACTTTTACACAGGCAAATATATACCTTGAATTGCATGGAAAGTCAGCAAGCTTTGAACACTTGGTGACCTCATAACCCATGAAAACTTATTTAGGAAACAGATTTTTTTTTTTTTTTAAATGTTGTTGCTTTTTCATAGATTCATGCAAGAGTTTGAGCTGGGAAGGGCCTTTAAAAGCTATCGAGTCCAACCCCCCTGCAGGGAGCAGGGACATCTGCAGCTAGAGCAGGTTGCTCAGAGCCCCATCCAACCTCACCTGGGATGGTGCCAGGGATGGGGCAGCGACCACCTCTCTGGGCAGCCTGGGCCAGGGGCTCACCACCCTCACTAAACCACTTCTGCCTTCTCTCTAACCTAAAGCTCCCCTTTTTTAAGTTTCAAGCCATCCCCCCCTGTCCTGTCACTACAGGCCCTATTACAACTGTTGTTCCTTTTTCTCTTTAAGGCAGGCAAATCAGAACAAGCCGAAGCAGTGTTCATCAGCATACACTTCAATCTGGAGCCAAAAAAGTCACTTTGAACCCAAACTTCTGTTCTGGTTCCGGTGTTTTTTTGCAAGAGAAAAACTATTAGTCAAAAATCAACATTTTTTTCCATGTAATCAACACTAAGTGACCTGCTCTGTTTTTTTTTTTAACCCTTTTGCAGAGAAGAGAACCAGCCGCTCACCCCCTTCTTGCCCTGGGTGGGCAACCACCAGGCTGGGGTGCTCCAGCTGCTGCTGGCCCCCGTGACAACCGTGCTCTTCTCTTCCAGGTGCTCCTTTTCAAAGGTCTCAGCATCCTCATGCTACCTCCTGCCGACATTTCCACCTGGGTCCCCAGCCTCAGCTCTCCGCTGACTTCGCCCTGCCTCACGCGGTGCAGCCCCAGCCAGGGCTGACCCCCCACATGGCCCCCACGCACCAGCACAGCGGACCCCTGCACCAGACCCTGGCCCCAGTGCCCGCCCTGCCCTTCCAGGACGTGGCTGGACCCTCCTTCCTACCTCAGGCGCTTCACCAGCAATACCTCCTCCAGCAGCAGCTCCTCGAGGCACAGCACCGCCGGCTCATGCCCCACCCCAGGTAAGGAGGAGGGGGGCTTTGCTCTTCCTGAGGGGTGCTGAGGAGCTACCTCAGCCTCACGTCAGACCAAGCAGGTTCTGCAAAACCCCAGCGGTGTGTGTTGGTGACATTGGGTTTTCCTCACAAGTTCCTCTGTGTGCCCCCAAGATGTGTGCAGCAGAAGGTGAGATCAGGGCAGGTAGCACCTATGGGCGTACCTTTCCTGTGGAGATCCACCCTCTGCTTATCTAGTATGTCCCATGGTCACCTGTAGGGTGGTGACATGGAAATGGGAACACCTTGGAGATGCAGGGAATCCATCCTGCCTGACATAGCGAGCAGTAGACTATGTGCATGAGCTACCTCCTTGTAGATGCTGCTTCAAGACTGTGTGAGAGACTCTGTCCACCTGTCCCATCAGGGACAGCACATGAAGAGCTTGGTCCTCTGGGTCCAGGCAGGTTTCACAGCTCTATGAGAGAATGATGCTGGCTGATTGACCTCTAACACGTCATGGAAAGGAGCCTAAATCCAGCCTGGGCTGATGACTGGTGGTGGGTTGGACTAGGTGGTCTTTTAAGGTCCCTTCCAACCCAAACCATTCTATCCTCCTATGACTGCAGAGAGAATTCCTGGAACTCAGCAGAGGTGGAAATGGATGCCTGGCCTTATCCTAATGCTTTTTCTTGAGAGAGGGGTTTAGATAGCACGTAGGAGAGGAGTGCTTTTTTTATGGAAGCATATGGAAGCTATTTGTGGGTTGTACCCATGGATCAAGAATCAGAGAAAGAGTCCTTTCAATAATGCTTCATTTGGAAAGAATGCTACAGACAGAAAACACTTTCCACACCATTTCTGTCTGAAAATTGTGTGTTCTTCTCATCTTTGTTTTGTTTTGCATAAGCTGGATTTTAGGTGGGTTTAATAATTAGTTCATAACTGAGTAGCAAATATGTGCAAGACTGAGACACTGACATTATAAGTGTTTATCTCTTAGTCATAAGCTGAATTAAAATAAAAGCCCAGAGCACAATTCCAGTGTTACATTTACAAGTGGGTTGAAGTGTGAAAAAAGGGCAGCAACCTCTTGCTCAGTCCCACAGCCCATTTTGGAAAGCACAGCTGCATTGGAGGAGGATGTCAGAAACCATACAGGTGAAGGGCACGAGGTCCCAGTCATGGGGATTTGAGCTATGCCTACAAAAGCTGTCCTGGTTTCAGCTGAGATAGAGTTAATTTTCTTCCTAGTAGCTGGTACAGTGCTGTGTTTTGGGGCTAGTGTGAGAAAAATGTTGGTAACACAGAAATATGATGTTCCCTGTGTCCTTGGCGTAGCCTGTCTCAGGAGAGGGTATTTCAAGGACCCAAAAGGGTATTGGTGGGCGTCTGAGCTGTGGCTGCATGAAAAAGGCTTTGTCTAGCTTTTATCTTTATCTGGCCTTTATCTTTATCTTGCTCCATTTGCTCTGGTTTCCCCAAAGTGCCATTTGTGATGGCTCCACTGGTAAGCAGAGAGTCACCAGGGAGCAAGGGCTATGGCTCTTCTGTAATGCCAGTCCTGCTTGTACATCCACCTTGACTCTCTCTAGATGTGGACACTGATCAATCAGCACATGCTCTTCCCCTGGGTTGTTCATATAGGCAATAATCACCCAAAGAGGCCCAAATCCCTAGAAAAAACTCATTTTATATTCTACTACTTTTGTTATACATTCTACTACCTCCTCTGCCTGCAAAGACAGCAGGGTGGGGGGAGAAGGAGCTGGATCCCAGCCTGGCCTGTCCATCATCCAGAGAAATGTTGGCAAAGGCCAGAGAGAGTAAATTCTGCTTTCAGTTACTCCTGAGTAATCGTGTTATGAATGAGGTTCCCCAGGAGTTTATGGACTGCATGGGGAGATGGGACAACCTGCAGCTTCTTTATGATGATGGATAATGGCTGCAGCAGGGACACATTTTATCTTGTGTGTATTTTACGAGGCTGACAGTGGAGAAAAAGAAAATTGTGCAAACTGCACAGAGCTGTTAAGGAAGAAGTTGTTCCACGTCCTCTTTTTCCCTCCGTGTTGACACCACGTAGCATCCCCTGTAAACTGAGTGCATGTGGATGCTGCAGGGGGGGAGTGGAGGTTTGTGCAATGTCCATGGTGACCATGAGTAAATGATGTAGCTCTGGGTTCCTCTTCCCATCATCCCTGACGCCTGCCTGGACTCTTTTCTCTTGGACACATATTCACAAACCCAGCTGTCTGGTGTTTCCCCTGGTTTATGGGGGTGGTCTCAGAGCAGGAGCTGTGCACACCAGTGCCTGTGATGTGGGTAACTCACTGTCTGGTCTTCTCCTCCCTGCAGGCGGGCTCAAGAGCGCATGTCTGTTCAGCCTCACCGTCTACACCCCAGCTTTGACTTCAGCCACCAACTACAAACTCCACAACCCATAGGGACCCAGCCCAGGTATTTAGCTGAAGGCACGGACTGGTAAGTCTTCCATATTTCACTGCTGTGTTGAATGAGGTGTTTAAAAAGTCCTAGGGAGGCTGCAAGGGTTGGTGAATGTCCTCATGGGTCAATGCTTCCATGGAAGTTAACTGTGCAGCTCAACAGATGCAAGGTGGGGAGTGTGCAAGGAGAAGACTCATCTCTGGGAGGGCCATGAGTGTGTGCTAAAGCCTTCAGGCATGTATATGCTAACATCAAGGCATTGATACTACCCATAAGTCTTCATCCATGGATGTAGAGTGCAGTCAAGCATTAATTTCCCACAAAGGCTTTTCCTGCTGCAGGGCACAGCCTGAGTCTTTTTCCTGTAGACCAGTGTCTCTGCCTGAACTAGATCTTCTGCTGTCCCCTGGGCACTCAAAAAACAACGGTCACAACTTTTTCTGTGATCTAAATTAGGGAACATTGTGCTGCCCTGACCCGCAGGGTGGTGTGAATGAATTAATAGTTGTTAATTGTTCTGCCACTGTAGTGTCTGATACTCTGAAAAAGCTGAGCAGGGAATTGATCCTTTCGTTTTCAGAGCAGGTTTTGAGCTCTTGCATGGGTAATGAGATATGGGGCCCTACTTGGAAGAGTAAGAAAATAAAAACATACTTCTGAGTCGCTGCCTGTTAGCTGAGAAAAGTCCATTCTGTACACTGAATGGAAAGAAAAAAAATGTGTGGATGTGTAATTAGAGACAATCTCAATATGTATGCACAAGGGGACCAAAATAAAATGGCACAGGAAATCTCAGTTATGGCATTTCCTAACATCTGAGCATTTCACTCTGCAAAGAGAGAGTCCATTTGTCACAGGGTTGGATTTTTTTTTCCCCCCTCCAGGATAATAATGCACAGCCTAAAATATGGCCAGGTCCTTCTACCATTTTCTTCTCAGGTGTTCCCATTACTGGCACCATGGTGAGCTGAATTTGGCTAGGATGACGTTGTTCAGATCAGTTTGCAATGCAGTTCACATACCATCTGGATAGAGCCATTCTTTCTGCCTCTCTTTCAGCACAGAGAGCTTAATTATAATCATTAGGAGGATCTGATAAAGCATCGCTTTGTGTTCCTCTCCTCCTCCTCCCTTCTTTTTCAACCTGTGTTGCTCCATTGCCTTGTAGAACCTAAGGAGTGGGGATGACAGGAATCACATACTGTGTGCATATATTTGGGTGACTCACCTTCCCCCAAGGCACATGTACAGCTTTGCCCCGTGTCAGATATAAAAACTTTCCTCTGATGTGTTGCCATCACACAAGCAGCTGTGGGGCTTGCTTGGAGGTGAAAGGTGGTGGGCATTGTTGTGGGAAATGGGGATGGAAGGAAGGTCTGGAGGTGATAACCTCAATTAAAATATTCTGGTGAAGAACAGATGAACTCCCATTTGCTTCCTTAAACCATCTGCACACTCATGTAGTGATGTTCCAGCATGTTTTTTGGAGCCTTATCCTTCACTTGTTGGTTGTTGGTGGCCTGTGTACCATAAACATGACAGTTCTTGAACCTCAAATCTGAGAGTCAAGGTGCTGCACGTTTGTGCAGTCACTGTCTAGCACAGACTAGAAGGTGACAGTGGGTTTTGGTTTTCTTCACCTACCATGCTCTCCTTGCCCACTCCCAAACCCTGGGAAAATGCCATTCTATGCAGTATTCTGCTTTGGACCCTTCAGTACACCCACAGCATTGCTTCAAGAGCCTCAACATCTGGTTTTGAGGCTCCAGTTGCACAAATAGTTCAGCAGTGCTGTTACCAAAATTACTTGTGCTAGTTAATAATGGCTGTTCCTCTCTGAGACATCTCTTCAGCCCTTGATCTCAAAGCACTCTGCAGATTATCACACCTATTTTGTAGACAGGGAACATGGGAAGGCAGAGAGGAAATGGTCAAGGTCATTCATCAGGCCAGTGACAGGGCTGGGAATGAACCCAAAGCCTCCTGATTTCCAATAGAGCCTTCCACCCACCTGGGAACAGTCTTCAGCACTTGGATAAATCTCCAGAATTGTGACATGGGAGCTGGAAAACACCCAGTCCCACGGATTCTCACCCTGGCTGTGCTCCTGCCAGTCACCTGCTGTGTCTTACCCTCTTGCCAGGTTCTGTCTGTCTAGCACATGGCTAGCACAGGGCCAGCAAAGACAGTCCCTCTTTTTGCTTCAGCTTAGTGTGGGCTGCCTTATTATGGGGTGCTAGAGCACTGGGGCTGCTGCCTGGTGTGCAGGCTGCACTGGGCACAGGTTTTCTGCATGTATTGTCCCCTTACATCCTCTATCTGCTCGTGGGAGAAAGCAGCTTCACAGCTGTTGGAGGACACGTCTGGGTTGCTCCTAACAAGCCGTGGCACTCGCTGCTGCTGTCCTCTGTGCAGGGGAGGAGATGTTCCAGGCTGGAACAGGAAGCCACCCCTGTGCTCTAATTAGCTTTGCTTTGGCAAATGTGAAGACAATGGTTATTAGAGCACCAGCTTTTGTAATTATGATGAAGTGAATGATGTTCAAAGCATTTGTTTGCTTTGAGAGACTCTGGCTGGAGAGACAGGGGATCAGCTAATTGGATTACAGATGGCTATGTTGGGTTAGGTCTCCTCCCATCCCCTCCACACCATGTGGGGATGGGGTTGCAGTTTGCCTCTGTATGCTGGATTGGGCAGACCTGCAGTGTTTGAGGGGATCTTAGTCATGCCAAGTCCTGGGATCCAGCTGGATTATTTTTCCAGGGGGGAAAAAGTGCCCAAACTCATTAAGCTCTGCTTGCCTGGGCCAGGCTACATGTGAGCCAGTGGGACCACAGAGGATGTCCTGCTTCATTGGCATTGGCTGACTGTGACATGCTTTCCTACAGAAGGGTTATCCAGAAACTTCTTAAAATCTTTATATTTTCTGCACAAACAACAGTTCTGGAGTTCCATGAGGTTGGGTTCAGGTGAGGTGTTGTCTCGTTTGTCTCCTCAAGTCCTACCATGACGTGGGCTAGGAGACCTCCAGAGAGAGCACAGGCAAATCAAAAGGCCTTGGAGGGTCCTTAGCTGGCTCCTGACATCTACCCAGAATGGTTCATCAGTGTGTCCCCTGAGTGATTAGCTATATTCCTGCAAAATGTTCAAGGCAAAATGTGATTGTTGGCAGTGATGGCAGCACAGGGAAGACCTGGTCTGGCTGGATTGAGTTAACAAGCCTGAGCATCATCAAAATGCTCTTGCTCTGAAATCAGGAGGCTGCATCTGTGTAGACCTTGACCCCAGCTAACACAAATGCCAACTGGCATAAATTCAACCCCTCACTCCTTTGTCCTGGCCTGGTGGGTAATTACCCAAACTGGAGGGAACTCCCTTCCAAGGAGCAGCATCACCCCAGGCGGAGGAATCCAGAGCAGCCCAGAGCCCACCAGAGGAGGTTGCCCCGAGAGCATGATGTGAATTACTGTAAGCCACTCAATAAAACCATGCAATCCATGCTGTATCTTCACCCTCCTGCCCACAGGGACCTCAGCGTCGATGCAGGGCTGACTCACACCCAGTTCCAGGTCCGGCCGGTCCCTCAGCCCTATCAGCATTACTTAGCTACCCCTCGGATGCACCATTTCCCCAGAAGCACATCCTCCACACATATGGTAAGTGAAACGCTTTCACCGAGCAATGTTTTATGCATTGTCTGCCAGAAGGCAGTCAAAATAAAGGCTGCTATCTTTCTATCACCTGTCTCCTGCAAATCCCACTTATCTCCGGCCGTGGGAGGGAGCGTCTGAAAGGATAACGTTGCATCATTGCACTCTGGATTAGAGGAAGGAAAGAAAAGCTCAGCTGCTCTGGAAAGATTCAGTCCATTGTGTGCAGCACCACGCTCACAAGCTGGTCTGCAAAACCTGGGCAGGATGTGAGAGGCTCAGCAGTTATTACTAATAATATTGGAACAGACTGTGGGCTCCTGGGACTTCTTGTATGCAGAAGGATTTGCAGTAGGTGACTCTCTTCCCTGATCTCAGCCCCAAGGACCATCCTTCATCACATCATTGCTGTCCCCACCAGCCCTGATGACATCTGTGGAGGTTTTGCATGGCCTCTTGCACAGGCAGAGATGGGGTTTGATAAGAAGATGGGCTGACTGGGGTCATTTTCTGGTCTTTCTCCTAGCAGGGTGCTGTGTTTGCAGCTGAGCTGTGCCAAGCAATGCTGATCCTTAAAGCATCCTCAGAAATCCCATCCCATAAGGGTGTTTTTTTGACTCCTGCCCATAACTGGACTCTGACACCCGTGTATTATAGCAAAGCTTAAAAAATCAAAGTTTGGATGAACTGAAATCCACCCATTTATGAAAAAAAATCACTTTTTACTTCTTGTTGAGCGTTTGGAACCGCAACGTTAGAGATGCAACAGGAGTTATTAAACCACATCGTTTATTCAGAAGAACTGCATGTTCTTAGTTATCTTTTATAGGAAATCTTTTTAATAAAACCTCTTTTTTTCGTGTTGTTATTAAAAGGCTTTCATTGGGGAAGGTGTCAGTCTGCTTTTTCATTTTGCATTTTTTAAAGCACTAGATTTAAATCCACAAAGGATTTCTATGTGCAAATACAGGTAGTTTTATTTTCCCTCCCTCTCACTTCTCACAGGTTGTTCATGAAATCAGAAATTACCCTTATCCTCAGCTTCAGCTACTTGCTCTTCAGGGACTGAACCCCAGCAGGCACACATCTGCTGTGCGGGACAGCTATGAGGTAGGTATCTTGGGAAATGGAATTATTTTAAATTTTTAATTGCTGGGAAACTCCGCAAGCTCTGGCGTAAACTTGTGAGACTGTTTCATGACACAGCAGTTGCACAGAGTCTTGCAGCAGTTTTAGTAACAACTGGGAGGTGAAGGGGTTGAGTAGGTTTGGTAAAAGATGATTTATTCCAAGGTGCCTCGTCTGGCTTGAGGGTTAATTCTGGCTCCTTTCACGTCTATGAAAAAAAGTGATCCAGCTCTACGGGGTTTTGTTTCCCAGCCTGCTGGACAGAGTTCAGATCCCACATAACTTCTGAAATTGCAGCCCAGGAGCCCCCCAAGCCTGGGCTGCCCCCCAGCAGGGTGGGCAGCAGGGCAGGGAGGGGATCCTGCCCCTCTGCCAGCTCTGTGAGACCCCCCTGCAGTGCTGGGGCAGCTCTGGAGTCCTCAGCAC